CCAGAGTATAAAAAACCCCCAAAATATTTTTCAGTTAAATAGATATTTTATTACTTATAAGTATCTGATTTCAAAGGTTTGTGGGTCCCTGAGAGTTAGCTACGCTACTGATACTACCGTCAACAAACTGAATATGTTTGAAAGTCCTCACTCCAAGAGCAATTATCTAAATAAAAATAAAGTAAAATGAATGACTTTAGCTAACTCATTGAGCTAGAACCCCAAATTTGAAATACTGTCCCAACGCTCTCTGAAAAAAGTAATCTATTACAGATTTTAGCAAACTTTTTGAGCTTTAATCTTGAAACTCAAAACTGAGCAGCAAGACATGCCCATGATGAGAAGCTTACCAAAACGTACCAATTTTCTTGCTGGAAGAAAATGAAATGCCGTACCTTATGACGTGATCTATAACAGTGAATGTTGATTTTAATAGTAATTTGTCATTTGGGCGATAGAAATTTTGCTGGTCTCACACCCTTATTAGCCCTAGCTTGTAGGATAAGGCGTTTTTAGTGTCTGTTGTAAAAGTCTTTTATTATATGTGATATCTAACTTGAGCAATTTTTTCTTCTTTTTTTTTAATTAAAAATCTTCCACTTTCAAAAATTCAAATTAAATGAAAGAAAAATGGGAGAATAAGGTACTAAACACATGTCTCGGTGAATTATTTAGCTTAAAAAAATTATTGGATACTGTAGAATATTTTCAACAGCACGGATGGCAGGTAAAATATATTTATTACTACAAATATGTGAAGGCGGAACAAATATTTTACTTAGCCAAATTTAGGGCTAACTAACATTATTTATCGCAGCCAATATTGTAAAGTTTTTGCTAGATGAGAATAAAATAAAATGCTATACCTTTTGACGTCATAGATAACACTGAATGCTGATTTTAATAGTAATTTGACATTTGGGAAAATAACTAATATGATTTTATGGATATATGCCTGTTATACTAATAGGAATAGATATATGCTCAACAAAAAGTTGCATTCTTTTTTTAATGCATGGCTGTAACTTTAAAAGTGTCGGTAGAATTTTTCCTTTGTTAAGAAGAGTATTACTTAGCCATTAGTCGTACTTACATTGTTTTATAAAAATAAGGAGTTAAAATTGTAAGAAAGAAACGATATTCGTTTATTGCTTTATCGTATTGATACTAGTAATTAGTATTAACCTTTTTTGTATAATATTGCTCACTTAAATACCAAAAAAAAAATGTATCTAAAAATTTTTTTTTTGCCCAAGTAGCTGAAGGGTATAGTAATTTTTTTAACTCGATTTAAACATAAAATTTTTGAATCTTCAATATTACCGTTTTGACGGTGGCCTGGAAATTAGTTATAATAGCGGAATTCACTCGATAAACCCAACTAGCAGGGCCTGACTGTCGCCTAGGCCCAATAGCCATGGGCCTGGGGCCCACAATTTCTGAGGGGATTCAAAAATTAGTAAAAAGTCTAATGAAAGATGGGCTAGCTTTGGGTTGGTTTAAGTACTAAATAAAAAATAATTACAGCTTACAATAAAGAATAATTCAGCTTATCAGTGACTTTTAGCAAAAATCGCTGATTTTAATTGTTTGCGTCACCAAATTATTTTTATTTAGACATAACATCATTTTGTTGTTTTTATATTTTGCTTTAATTTATAGATAGGTAAACTTTATCTTAGAAGAATAATGTCTGCTTTCAAAATTTCTCGGAATGTGTCTCTTGAATCATGCAGTTCAATAGATTCTTTTTTATTGCTAGGACTACTCTTCAGTAATTTAATTTCAAAATATTTTGCAAAGGGCCCGGAAAATTTGGTGGGCTTTGGGCCTGAATTTGTCTTGATCGATCCCTGCCAACTATATCAAGTTTAAACTGAATGTCAGCATACTATTTCATTATCTTTCTATCGTCTTGTGCGTTATGCAGCTCCATTTAAAAATACCTCTAGAATCATTGATATAGAACAGCAGTGCGTAAAAATCTGATCTTATGTTTAATAACTATTTAGATTATTCTATTTTTCATTTTGTTTTTAAAAGTTTTTGTTTGAGAATAGAATTTTACTGGTCTCACACCCTTATAAACCCTAATTTCCGTGATGGGACACTCATAGTGTCCGTTGTAAAAGTCTTTTATTGTATGTGATAGCTAACTTGAGCAATTTTTTTTTGTAGTTAAGAAACTACCGTTGAAAGAACTGAAGTTAAATGACAGAAAAAAGAGGGAAAAAAATATTACAAATGTGTCTCGGTGAATTGTATTAAGCTTAAAAAATTATTGGACACTAGAATATTTTTAACAGCACGAATGACAATATATTTATGGCCACAAATATGTTTGGACGGATACAAATATTTTGCTAAGCCAAGTTTAGTGCTAATTAAAATAATATTTTACAACCAATGTAGTACAGTCCGCAAAAAAAAAAAGATATCACCCTGAATAACTTTTGTTCTAATGATCGGATTTTCAGGATCTAAGTGTCAATCTTAATGGTTCCCGGGGATGACCTNTATTATGCAAATATTAATGAAGAGAAGATAATTTAATATTTCTATCGTAAATATATATAATATACTGAAGAAAAAAAAGTTAAGATTCATTTTTAGATGGTAGTATAATTAATTCAATAATATACATAAAATCTATTTTAATAAATATACATAGCGATGTAGCATAAAATCCTCCATGAAATAAACTAAATCATGAAATATTTAATATCAACTTTTACACCATAATCTAGTTCTTGTTTTCTAATTCCTACCACACAATAGTAACAGAATCCAATGTGTAAAAAATGATAAATATTCTAAAATCGAAAACTTTAAAATAATTTACTTTCTTTATTGTTTACGTCATTTTAATAAGCAACACATATACTTATAGGAAAAGATATAATTCTTACTGAAGAACTGAGTAGAATCAAACACACTTCTTAAAGCATAATGAATCAAAACAAAAAATCTCTTTAGCATGTAGAGTAGTGCAAAAGGTAGAAAATTTCTTTTATTATAATTCTATACTTAATAGTATCTACAACAAAAATTTCAGAAAAAAAAAAAGAACATTTTTTTGAAAAGATTAATTAAAAATTTTTTTAATTGTCTGAAAGATGATCAATCATCTTTGATTTGAATACATCCAAGTTAAAACGAGAAAGTAATGTAAGCAACCCATCTTTATTCAAATACTCTTATGTCTGATAAAGACATATGTAATTTAATTTTATGACCGTCGACGAACTGCCGACCCAGGTTTTTTGCTACCATGATTCAGAATTTGACAAAATCGATTACTATACAACTTTTTTAACCATTGTCTGAGTTTAAAAATTAAAAACCATGAAAAAACCCAAATTGAATAATTATTTCTTTTAAAGTAATTAAGCAGATGTGTTCCAGGAAAATGCCAACATGAGCTTTTTTGGAAAGTCCGATAATTTTTAAAGGACAATATAATGATAACGCTCTTCATTAGTGTTTCAGGATATAGACTTACCCCTGATACATAGAAACTATTGCCTGCATGGAAACAACGGTAATTTTTACCAAAAAAAACTCTTTATATACATTATAAGCGTCGTTGTACAGCCGATCCGATTTTAATGTTAAACTTCGCAGTATTGTAATATTGGTGACAAAAGAAACTTCTGTATAAAGAATTGACGAAAATTTTTCTCTCGTGGAGGACTTTTTGATGGAAGTAAACCGCATTTGTGTTACATGGAGAGGAAATTTCGTATGGCTTGCCTATCATCAAGGCGATTCTATTTCAAGATCCGTCTACCATTGAGGATATTTTACACCAGCACTGTGGCCGATGCAAATTTATTATCGACCAGCCACCTGTGGGACTTGAACCCGGTTCACCTCATTTGAAGGTAGGCAAACCAAGCCACCACACGCTTAATATATAATAAATTTTTTTCTTTCGAGTAAAACTAAGGAGAGCTATGGTGACATATTTTAATTTATTCCTCTCTAAAATTGGACTCGCGCGTTAACAAGGAGCGTCAATACATTAACCATCCTCTCCATTATTTGTCCGATTTCGATAGAATTTTGTTTTATTCTTCGCTTAATTAAATTGTGCAATTGAATTCGGAGAGGTCAACAATAACAACGCGGTGAGATTTTTCAGAGAATATATTACAACTATTAGATCATCGTTTATAGTTCCAAATTAACAAACAATGTCTTGAACGCAGTGAAAATGTCTTAGTATGCGGTTTGTATGTGCGATCACGTCCTGCAGTGGACTGCTCATTAAGACACGGTTCTCAGCAGATCACTAGCTGCGGTAAGTGAGCAGATGAGTGACCTCTTAGATCACTCTGAATAGGGACCTAGGGTGTGCGGTATTGGTCCTAGTTAAACTGTTACCATAAAGTGTCCAACTTCACATGCAAGTCTTCGGGCTACCGAAGCGGTGAAATTCCTGCTGCAGAGGATCAAAATTGTGATGGTATGGATCATACACAGGGATGTTTCTCAGCCCGTTGCCAATAGCCCATTGTGCAGTTTTTGCGAAGTTAATGAAATACCTACCTACCGACTCTCGCACCTCTGCTCTGCCCAACATGCATCAATCAAACGTTTCATCAATTGTCTTAAGAGCCAATCCAAGTTAATGCGACTTACGCACCGAAAAAAAGAAGAGCCTGTTGGGCAAGTTTTCCGCAGGAAAATTGCTCATCAAATTTACATTCTCTTTTTACCACGCAAACCGTGTTCAATTAGAATTTCTTTAAACGAAATGCTTTGTACTGGAGAGTAGATTTATCCACGCAAATCTTTCCTACTTCTTTGACGTAATTTCAAGCATTAAAAATCGAACCTAAATTAAATTTTACCAATCGGGAGGATCTCATTCGCCTCTTCTAGTTTTCATTTACGAATTCTCGCATAAAGTAAGAATAGTTCTTAGAGAAATTGTGATTGGAGTGATACGTTTTTGATTTATTTCTACAGAAATAGGTAGTAGAAAGCGTTATTGTGAAAGATGTTGGAACAATTGATTAATTGATAGTAAACAGTAATCCACATCATTTTTGTTGGACAGTTGCATGTTAGTCTGAAAAGTAACCAAAGAATAACTTCGCGACATCGAAGATACGTCAGAAATAAAGGTTGAACTCGTGCTTTTTTTTCTCTATTTTTATGTGAAATATTTAAGAAGTTGGCTTTAATTATTAATGTGTTGGATGAATTGCTGTTCAGCTTGAAAATTTCGGCTAATATTTTGTAAGTTAACTTCTTCAATGCATGTTTTTTTGTTCAGCTAGTTAAGTGGTATAGCCTGTCATAGTAGTCTTTTAAATTGTTTAGTTTTCTTTCAGTTTATTTTTTTATTTCATGGTTTGTTTTTTCACATTTCAGCTTTATTTTTGTCGTAAAATAAATTTACGAGCTAAGAATCTTCCATACTGGTGCAGTTAGAATTCACAGCTATGAATATTGTAATTCCAGTTTTTCTTCTGCTTTATAATTTTTTTTAAAAGTAAAATTTCACTCTTAGTTTTATAAGAATTTTCCTTATTAAAAAAAATTAAGATGAAATAAACTCAGAGTCCAGCTCAAATTGCTCTCTAAACTGAGGAGAGTATAGTTTATTGTAGGCTGTATGTAGGTACTCTTAGTATAAGCTCCTGGCAAACTTAACCTTTAAGTAATGTTTATAGTGCAATGTGTTTTGTTATATTCATGTAAAATGGTTTATTATGTTATTAAAATAGATTGCAACAAGCAAATACAAATTAAGAATAGTAGAAGTTATGAAGAATTTAAACAGGACAAACATTGAAACTCTTAATTATATATATGCAATCTTAAACTAGACATGCTGATTATAAGAGAAATAAAAACCAACCAGGCTCACTTATTGGTAGATGTTAGCTCCCGGTCATTTTTGTTCTAAATCTTTAAAATTCTGCTTAGTCTATCTGTCCGTCTTTTTATTCATTAAAAATATTAGTAAAACTGTTTTCATTAATTTGAAAATGTGGAAAATTTTATCACAGTTCAGGGCTGATTGTGCTGCGGAAAAAATCCGGATTTCCGGATATTTCGCTAAGAGGGTTCCGGAAGTTTCCGGAGATCGTAGGTCCAGACGTTTCAAAAAATCGTTGATCACAGAAGTTTCCGGAAATCAAATTTTCAAAGGATGAACTTAAAAACACAGTTTATTTTATTTGTTTGTAAGGGAGAGCACAGAGAGATACTTTATAGGCTTATATTCATGATTAATATAATTTTTTTTTTATCAGTAAATATAGTTGTTATAATCATAAACTCAAGAAAGAAAGACATATTTGTAAATTTTAATTATTTCTCCAGGTTATCATGGGTATGTGTAAATGGTATAGGTATGTGTAAAATTTTAAATATATGTTAAGTAAACTAAGAAATATTGAGAAAAAGGAAAAAAAAACCTAGTTTAAATTTTTTTCTGATTTTTCAATTTAAACCGTTTTTTATTTTTTTTAACTCTAGAAATTTTCCGGAATTTTGACTTGGGCTCACAATCACCCCTGACAGTTATTTATAAGTAATTGATAATTATTAAAAAATTTAAAAGCATTCAAGTTTGAAACTTTTTTGCGAACTATTTCTTGTCTATTTCAGTCTTACTGCTTTTGGGCACTAACAACTATTGTATCATATTGCTACGCTTATTTTGTTTTCATTATGGATTGTAATTATGCAGATAATGAATGTAGAAAATTCATTCTCATGGTTAATTTAATTGTGATAATGTGCATGGACTTTGACTATGAATAAATATATTTGGGAGATTTCTGAATCCTGATCTGTGGCAGAATAATGGCAACTCGTAGCCAATCCTGGGCAAACCTCTACTTTTTTTTCTTTTAAATATTTCCACTAAAAATCATTTGGTGCCTTGGCCTTTGTTGTTGGTGTGGCAGATCACAATATGGAAATATTCCTAACATATATGTGGATGTGGCCTGTAGGCAAATTAAGCTTAGGAGACAAACTATGTGATAAACTATGAATATTATGAATAAAACTTTTAATCAATAACCTTATTTTTAATAGTAAAGTTTAACTTGGTAACCTGTGGCAGTTGACTGCTGACAGTTTAATAAAACCTGTATTTTTTATTTTTATTTATTCAAGATTTTTTTTCTTCAAAAGTTGAGCTTAATGGAGTTTTTTTTTTAACCAAAAAACCAGGTTTTTGATGAAAAACCTGGACTTTTTTTTTTCCATTCAGAAATAGTTAAAATTTCTGTTCCTGAGTGACCAACAAAATTTGCTTCGAATGTAAAAGTTAAATATATTTGGTAATTATTTATAACTTGTTTTCTTACAATGGCGGGAATGAAACATTTTTGGGAGATTTTAAATTTCTACGCTTTTATTTTTATTTCTTAATGACAGATTGTTACTTAAAATTATATCCAAACCAAAAATAAATTCCCAAAGTTTTTTTTAATTGTATTTATACAGATTTAGTTCCAGAGTAAAATTTTAAATTATATTTCAGGTTAATTTACAATTGTTTTTTGTTTAAATGACAATAATTCACAATTATTTCGCTTTTGAAGTAAAACTTATTGCTCTGTTTCAGTAAGTTTAGAAAAAACTTACCTTTGAAAGAACCTCTACCCTTGTTTCAAGTGGGCCCACTCAAAAACCGTTGGCTGTCAGATGATTTTGTGACATTTGAGTGTGTTGCAATTGCTATTTAACTAAGCTTTATATCGAAGCAAGAATTGTCCCTGAAGCATTACATCATTCAAACTTTATTTTTTGTTTGTAAAAATTTGATGTTAACTTGATACAGTTCTTTCTTAGCCAAAGTAGAACAGAAAGCAGTAAAGCACTTGTCTTACTCTTATTGTAAGGTTTGTAAAATGTTGACATTTTTTATATGCCTATTGGAGTTTTATTAGTAGTTCTTTCATTCCTGGGATATTTTTGAATACAGAGTCATCATCAAAATCTCAAGTAGCTTTCATAAAGTTTATAATACTTGTTTGCTGTTTATCAAAATCTTGAGTGGCTTTCATAAAGTTTAATGTTTGTTGGTCTGTGAAGGGATAGTCAGAGATAACTTTTTAAAGAAATTCATAGAATTGTGATAAAAACTGTAAATGCAAGTTTATGTTTCAAATGAATGTATTTTTCTGAAAAATGTAAATCTTGTGGTTTTCTGAACTATGCATCTTAGTATTATTATGCAACCACTACTATGCGTATTACAACCACTACTATGCGTATTATGCAACCACTACTATGCGTATACTAATATTTTGTGTAAAATGTATCTACTTGGTTGTTTTATTACATTTTATATGCATGTTGATTTAGGATAGTTGTACAGCAGGGGTGTCCAACTGGCGGCCCGCGAACTAAATTATATTGGTTGTCATTTTCTGCGGACAATTTTGGTAAAAAATCTACATGGGTTTAAAATACTTTTCTCGTTAATAAAAACCTATGTTCTTCGTTTCTGTGAAATTTAACATAACAGCAGTGCAAAAAAATTTATTTCTCAGGTTTTGCATCCAAGAAAATATTTATTTAAATACAAAAATAATCGTGTATGTAGCTCTTTTTTATTTCATTTTTTTTGTATTTTGTGAATATAATTTAGCATGTAGATATCAGAATTTTTCTCAAAGAAATTCTTATGGAATTAACTTTTTGAAACCACTCATTTAGGACGAAAATATTTACGCACACATTTGTAAATTTTAAATTTCTCTGGTGGTTGCAGCAGACAAACCTCAATTTTCTCATTGAAGATTTGGTGTGCTACTAAGTAAGTTTTAATACCAACCTTTTTAAAGTTTTATATCTTAACAATTAGATGTCTGTTGCACATTAATTGTTTAATACATAGGTGCTCATTAAAGTTATTTAATATTTTTAAAAATATTATTGACAAATATATTAAAAATCTACTTCTTATTTTAATTTGTAATTCAATACTTTTGTTTTGTACAACTTGGTAAAAATCTGACAGTAATATTTAATATTCCTTCAAACATAAAAGAGTCCTACATAAAATTTTGAGAAAGTTGCGGCCCACCATTTGATGTGTGTTTTTATTGTGGCCCCCAGCCTCATGTAAGTTGTACAATGTTAATTTTCCCAAAATTAATGCAAGTAATTTTTATAGAAAACCTAACCTCAATTAAATATTGTAAAGCATCAATAAAAAAATATTGAAGATTTTATTTAAATATTGTGAATTTGTTATTGATTCTTAANTACTTAAAATTATATCCAAACCAAAAATAAATTCCCAAAGTTTTTTTTAATTGTATTTATACAGATTTAGTTCCAGAGTAAAATTTTAAATTATATTTCAGGTTAATTTACAAATAGTTTTTTGTTTAAATGGCAATAATTCACAATTATTTCGCTTTTGAAGTAAAACTTATTGCTCTGTTTCAGTAAAGTTAGAAAAAACTTACCTTTAAAAGAACCTTTACCCTTGTCTCAAGTGGGCCCACTCAAAAACCGTTGGCTGTCAAATGATTTTGTGACATTTGATTGTGTTGCAATTGCTATTTAACTAAGCTTTCTATCGAAGCAAGAATTGTCCCTGAAGCATTACATCATTCAAACTTTATTTTTTGTTTGTAAAAATTTGATGTTAACTTGATACAGTTCTTTCTTAGCCAAAGTAGAACAGAAAGCCGTAAATCACTTGTCTTACTCTTATTGTAAGGTTTGGAAAATGTTGACATTTTTTATATGCACATTGGAGTTTTATAGTAGTCCTTTCTTTCCTGTGATATTTTTGATTACAGAGTCATCCATCAAAATCTCAAGTAGCTTTCATAAAGTTTATAATGCTTGTTTGCTGTTTATCAAAATCTTGAGCGGCTTTCATAAAGTTTAATGTTTGTTGGTCTGCGAAGGTCAGAGATAACTTTCTAAAGAAATTCATAGAATTGTGATAAAAACTGTAAATGCAAGTTTATGTTTTAAATGAATGTATTTTTCTGAAAAATGTAAATCTTGTGGTTTTCTAAACTATGCATCTTAGTATTATTATGCAACCATTACTAGGCATATTTTCCCTTACGTGCCATTTCACATAAAAAAAAAAGTTCGAATGTAAAAGTAACTAATCTTTTGTGTAAACTGTATGTACTTGGTTGTTGTTTTATTAAATTTTATATGCCTGTTGATTTAGGATAGTTGTATAGCAGGGGTGTCCAACTGGCGGCCTGCGGAGCCTTTTTTTGCTGCCCGCGAACTAA